AATGAAAGTTGAATCCTTTGTCTTAGGCAGAATCTTCTGCTCTCCTTTGTTAAATGCGAGAGAGTTCATGTGCGGTTGGTACATTTATTGATCGCCTCAAAACGTATTCCTCAAATTAAATTCTTGACAAAATATTACCAGAAATACAATAAAAATACTAATTAACTGATCGAATGCTTCAAAAGCGAGCACATAGCATTATAAATTGCATTATATGATTAATATAATGTTATCAAAGTAAAAAATGATATCATAATTATATTTCTATGATGGAAAGAGGGGGCGTGCGATAGACTTACCTCCACGTGGTGCACCATGGGCAACGTATACTCATACGGTAAAAAAGTCTATTAATCGGCAGTTGACTTCTGACTTCAAACTACCAAAACCCCACCGCATTTCATATTCAACTAATTCCACAGTACTCACCTTTTTATCTACCTTTGTGTCTGTCTGTCTCTTTTACGTCTGTGAACCATTATTCTGTCCTCCCTCTCGACTTTTTGCCACTTTGGTGTTCCTCTCCCTTTCTGTGAAGCACGGGGTCAACTAAAGGGCTAATGATACCTATCATAACGCCTGCCATTTGAAATAAATAAATATGATGGAAAGAGTAAAGCATTAGAGATGACACTGGCAGATGAAGAAAACTAACCAAGATAGTGCTTTTCTAACTGTAACAAATCAACTACTATAGAAAATAATTCTTGGACACAGTTTCTAATATTAGAGAGGGACAATGAGCTTACAGCAACCATATCCCGAAAAGCTGAAAAGTACTTTTGTAAGTTCCTGCCCTTATTAACATTATTTATGAATTTGGGTTTTTATCTATTATCTAATCATAATTTACACTCACCAATCTCCAAGAAAATAAACATTTAATCTTCTGGTTTCATTCCTCTCGTGCTGTTACACTATAAGACAATACTTATTGATCATATCAACTCTGATAATTTCCTTTATCGGTGAATGATAATTTTTCGTCTACCAAAGTTTATTCTTATTAACACTCTTGACAATCGTTTCAGCTCACATTTTAAGGTACATTATTGAAAGAAGCGCGTAAATGCATTTGAACGCGAAGTTTTTAGATATACCCAAGCTGGAATTTAGAAAGCAAATTGTGAAATAAACATCTGCTCTGTCTTGATGAACACAAATCTCCACCAAGACCGAAAGCGAAGGAACAGTATAAGGTCTGGTCTGACCAATGAAAAGGGGAAGCTCTCGGTCCGTGCTACGTGCAGGCATGTACCATGTTTTGGCTAGCTGGATTGTGGTCCAACTTTCAACGCGCTTTAGAAACATTGCTTAACGAGTTTGAAGGCCAAAATATTGTACTAATGAAATTTTTTTGTTAGGTTTAAGTCCAAGTAGGAATCTTTGCTTAGTATTTATATTATTATTATTAATAATAATCAAGTGCATATACATTTAGTGTGCATGGTAAGAGCTAATATTATCGGCAGGAAATCGTCAGCTTATCTCAAGGTCATCGAGTTTGTAGTTTGTAATGACATTAGCAATGCGAGCAGGTGGTCTCAGGGTCATTCGTCATCCAGATTCATTTAATGCCTACGATGCTAATGACAAAAAATGTCAAAATCTCCTCCCGTATGAATCTAATTCAAGGGTCGTGTCTGTCCGAATAGATACTGGGTCACTTAATATTTCAACAGTGGGAAATCGGTCAACAGTCAATCGGTAGTTGACTTCTGACTTCAAACTACCATCACCCACTGTAGGTTAAATTCGACTACTTCCATAGTGGTCACCTCACATTTCTTCTAACTTTGTGTCTGTCTCTTTTACATTTTTTAAGCATTCTTCTACTCCACCTCTCTCGAATTTTTTTTTCACTTTGATGTTCTTTCCTCTCTGTGAAGCCTGAAGTCAACTAAAGGGCTAATGATAACTATCAAAACGCCTGCAAATTGATAAAGACACATTTGCATGGTTAAATCAAAATAGCCTTAAGATTTACACCAGTTCATGATGTGGTAGAAATGGCTAAGTTTGTAGCCAAAAATTAGCCTTTAAGTCAAATGCCATGATATCGGCTTCTTAGCAATCTTTTTTTCGGTACCATCATACTATTCCACTGCCCTACTTCAACAGGACGATTTTGTGCTGTTTATACAATGACCGATTTATTTCAGCAGTTATCATTATTAGTTGCATTATTTTATGCAGCACGGAAATATAAAAGAGCGAGAGGTAAAACACACTATTCGCTTTTTATGCGCATGTATCATTAGAATGAAGTCAAACATCCAAGGGGTAAAAAAACACTAGTGAAGGTGGGGAGATTTACGAGGCGAGTTTATTAATGCAGTTAGGCGGGGTTATTCCACTTCTTTGAAGAGATCCGCAGATTCAACTCTGTTTGCATTTGGAAAAGGGGGAAATTAAAGAAATGGAAAGAGACAAGTGGACGTAAATATAAGAAGGGTATTTAATTCCATGTTGGGTAAGTACCTATCATCTACATTGAACGTTAGTCACAAAATCCTATTTTTTCTTCTGGAGGAATTTAGGAGACCACGTTTGTTATGGTAGTTTTTTGGGGAAAACAAAGTAATCTTAGATGTGAGTGTTAGGAGGGGCGGGGGCAATTACGCTTAAGAGGCATTGAATGAAAAGAGGAAAGCTCTACACAATACTGTCGTCTCCATTGAGCATAACCTTTTCACCATTTCCAGCCGCAGAAGCTGTTCCAATGCTTCGAGGTGGGGCTGAAGCCGCTATAAAGCCAATTTCTGGGTGGTGTCGGACAACTTGAGATTGAGGATGACCAAGGTAATTGGGGATAGGCTCGATGTACTTCATTTCCCCGGTTTGAACTACATCCTGAGTTCTTTTGTGACGATAGATGTGCCAGAGTTCACAGGCAAGGTCACCGGCCATCATATCACCAACATTCATAGAGATGAGACGAATTAGGAATATACCGTCTGGACGGAGGAAATTTTCCACGAATTTCTTTGAGGCGCTTCGGTCAGTATCCTTCATTACGCACATGATTTTCAGATATCGGCGAATGAACTTCAGTCGGTAACGAGCGAAACCCATTCGCATGAACCAATTGATAAAACTTATCAGCGTTATTATTCCCAAGGCGCAGTGCCAGAACCAAAGAAAAATGAAGATCTTTTCCAAGAACATATTCAGCGGGAGTACGCATTGGATTGTGTACCTAGAGAATAGAACTTAATTAATTAAAAAATGCCCAAGTAAGTTAATTAAACCCTATTAATTTTGCCGCAGTGAATCTTCCATTCCATGAAATTTCAGAGCTCATTCAAAAATTCAAACTGGCAGCAAAAAAGGTGTATCGTGTAGAAGGAAATGAAAATTTGCTTTAGAAAATCGAAACCACGAAAATCTATTTTTTTCATGTGAGTTTCACTAGAAGTGACAAGTAAGACGGAAGCAACCTTTCGGTTGTAATTAGATATTTCTTAGAGAGATGAAGAGAAACAAATTTTCTCTTGAAAATTAATAGAATTAATGACAGATTAAAAATATTTCTCCAAAATGGGCTTTGAATTTAATGGATTTAAATATGGTGGGTAAAAGGTAATTAAAAGTTTTTCTTTTAATGATTTTGAAAAGGAACAATAATTGGGAAGAAAATCTAGAGTTTCCATCATTGTTTTTATAAGATGTCAAATCTAAAAATCTTAAAGCCAAGTTGGGTCATCAAAACTATTCTAATACACTGTCTCTTGAACATATGTGAAGTACCACTCGAAGGATCAATATCTTTCTTAGCTGCATCCACAAAAAACGCTTAATTACTCTTCCAACTAATAGCGCATTGCTAATGGTAAAGGTTTTGCCTATCTAGATATTATATTCGGTAGCCTTACATCGTGCAAAGCTTCATACTGGAAGCGGGGATAATAAGTTGCTTAAGGATAATAAATTTTGACATAGAAATCACTCAATTAGAAGTGCCAGCATTAGGAAAAAAGTTAATTTAAATGAGTATAAGAGGTTTTCGAATTCGGCAAAATTATATTAACGGAAATAAAAAAATTGAGAAACTACTATTTTTGAGAAAATGCGTTTTTATGACTTGTCTTCGCTGTACTTTATCCCGTGAACATTTATAAATGTTTGAATTGCTTCAAGGTCATACATGATTTTCATAGTACTTCGTTCTACCCATTGTACTCTTACAATACTTCTACTTTTATTATCGGAGTTGAAAGGCACGAACCATATACATAAAGGACATGGAGAAGTTGATAGAAAACCCGGTTAAATTGCTAAGAGAAAGTGAAAAGATAGCTTTCACTTCCATTAATGACTTTCAACAGTAAATCTATTCGTTGGATCATTAAAATGTATCCATTGGTTAATAGGAAAATTTTCAATCCTACAAATTCATATGTAATTTAACTGACAAGAGGTTCAAGGTTACTTTACACTTTAAGAGCGTCTAAGTAGACTTGGTTTGCTTTGAAGATTCTTAAACCACAAAATCGAATTTTCTCATTTCTGCAATATATTCGCAATTGAATTATTATTGATTAATATAATTTTCAAAGGTGGAAGACAATTTTTCTCATACCACCAAAACGAAGTAAAAAAGAACTGCTAAAAGATAATAAAGCAATTCACACTGCCATTGAATATTCTTCAGCTTTAATAATTTTTCCTTTGAGATTAAAATTATTTCGACACTGGTATAATTAATGTTTAACTAAGCCATACCAGTTATGGATTTAATGATACACACAACTTAAAGCAAAATATAGTCTAAAGCGTTCTACTGTATCCTTATTCCTCAGTGTGTCTGCTTTCCCGACACTAATAAAATAGGCAGAATGCGAGTTTGTGAACGCTGAGAAACCAATAATTCTGGTTTGCTTGAAAGAGGAACGTAATAAACACTCTCAACAGAGTCGTCCTTTCAGTGCGGTAAGAATAAGGAAGAGGTGACATGACTGAAAAAACCAACTTTATTATCCAACTTTCCATTGACTTTCTAGTATAGCATATGGAAGTGCTTTCCTAGTATTTTCAACTGACCAACCAATCAGCCAACCAGGGTACTGAGGTAGTGATTGACTTGTTTAAGAATTTTGAAATTATAGGTCATGCTGCACGTACCGAATTTAGAGCAGTTATTTATAAAATAATCCCCAAGAATGTTTTTTACCAAAAAATTCAATCAATATCATAACTTCTTTTCTTAGAGGCTATATTTCGAAATTCAACAACCCTTTTAAAGAATTTTTGTTCTATCTTAAAGCGATATGGACAAGAGCTCTACCCTTAAGGTGTCCGAACACGAAACAAGTACTCAAACGTTTCAACAGCCAGAAATGCTTTATGAGAAATATTGAAATTTAGTATTACGATTCCGAATGCCTGTTTTTTGACCAAACAGATTCCGTTCTTTTTTAAAGTTTGAGCTTTCGTAATTTTAGATTCACGCATTTCTCAGCCAATGAAGATTAATAGTAGAACTGAACAGCGTATCTTTTCTACTAATGGCTAAAACGGTAAAAAATACCACTGAATTTGCCTGGCAGAGCTAAGCAAGCTTCGGTAATGTGAAGTACAAGTTTCGTTAGTAGACAATTCGAAATAAATTAGGCAGGCTTATTTGGTCAAAAATTACAAAAAATCTGTTCATGAATACATGAAAAGCTTTTACCGAGTAGGAATTAGCAAAATATCTTTATGGAGATTTTAGTTTTAAAGCGCTTTTGACTATGAATGTGCAAAAAAGCAATATACTTTGCTCAAATCATGAAAAGTATTTTCATTACTACACAATAATGTTACAGATTAGAACTTTCATGATTTGTCATCTGAATTGCTGCGAATGTTTGACAGAAGAAGATGGTCTAACATTATATTCTATTGGCACTAAAATACGACAGTCACGATCGTATAAATATAAGCTTGTTTTGAATAAACATTTCATTAAATGATTTAGCACCGATGACAGACAATTTTACAAGTGCATATGGAATATACTAATTCTATTTTGGTGTTCTGAATTTGAAGGCTTTTTTAAATAGTCTGGCAAACGTTTTAGGTATTGGATAATTAAGTTTGTTGCAAAAATGTGGAGGTTTTTTAATTTGACTGTTAATTCATTTAAATTATAGTAATAGTTTATGCCTGATTTAATAAAAAATGGTCTAACACAACAAGCCTGTTGTTTCATGTGTTAGTTTGGCATTCATTATTATAACAAGGCCTGACATTAATATGATTAATTATATATCCAATTTAATTGATAGCGCCTGTAATCATTACAATCATTTTGAACAGTAATATTATTTGTAATTTACTTTCACTATTAAATGTTTGCATTCATATGAATAATGTGTGAAACCAAAATGTTTTAAAACGCCCATTTTTCTAAAATTGCATAAGGCTATAAAAAATAGATCCTGTTAAACAGTATATACGTCTGTGGTAGTATTTATTTTCAGGAAATTATTATTTAATTGCTCTTTACTTGTAAAATAGATTTGTTTTAATTATTATATACAGTAATGCAAAAATTCGTAAGTTTCAGTTTGGGGTAAGGATTTGGAGTTGCCTTAACAAAAGGCAAAGGAGTGGTTATAAGAAATGCTGAGACAAACGTTTGTGTTTCGAATAGTTTCCTACATGTCTCAACCTTTGGATTCATTTTACAAAACATTTGCGAAATGCATAATTCACATAGCAAAATTCAAATATTACTTCTGCTAACACAGTTTGGTTGAGTCTGCGACAAGTTGTGTTTTTTATCAATTTTCAATAGGGATTGGTCTTACCACTTACTTAATCATTTCCTACAGCGATTGAAATATCTTAATAATTATTCCAGTTGCAATATGGTATTGACTTATGGGACGCCAAATAGTCGTCAATGTGTTTCCATTGACCTAAAAGCGACTCATGTTTAAAAAAATTAATGATAAGATGGTCTAAGCTGAAATTGGATATTGCCGCCTAAGACTTCAGTTAAGACAAATATTTATGATTGGTTGTAGAGCGCCTATTTTATCTCGTTCGTTCAGCCGCATATATGTGACTCAGAGGCCGTATCAAATTAGTCGTCTTTATTCTAAGATTATTTACGCATCAAAATGCAGAGAAAAACCGTCGATTTCAGAGAATTTAAATAACGGAATTGAGTAATATGAAACATTTCAATTTCGACGACTTTACTCAGGCACTAAAAGAGACATAAATTCCTTTTTATGGGTTTGATTAAAATTTTTAGACAATTAATTAATTCAATTTTTGATTAATTCTTTTCATGACTGCAACATTTTGAGTACTCCCTGAAAACATGGAGACGTTGGGCTGTCAGGAGAAGTTAAAAACTGCGAATCGGGGCGAGAACTTTCATTCTATTAACACGAGCTTCAAATTGTGGCAGTTTTGAGGAGTTTGAAAAGTTCTGTTTCCCCTCATAGTATGCTGCAAGGAAAGGGTTACCCACTAATCTGACTTGATATTTTTAAGTAGATGAAATTGCTTCTTCACGCAAAGTTTTATGAAGAAGAAAACAAATATTTTACAATTAGTATTGATTTTTGTTTTAAAAGACCGGATTTAGCATGCTATCACCTAGTTGAGTTAGTTCTTAAAAGGAGTAAACAAAACATTGTAAATGCAAACGAGAAATCACGAAATTTGAATAAAAACTTTAGTTGCAAAATTGTAAACCGTTCGGTTTTAGTCAAAAGAATTCGTAAATATTTGCAAAAGCTATCTTGTAGCAGAGCATTCTGCTCTTAGAGCTGTAACCTTCATTTCATTTCTGGTTTAGTTTTTGTCTCAATCTTGTTGAAGTCTGTGCCAAGCTTTCGACTATTTTTTGCATAAATTTCTACATGGTGAACTATAGATCATAGACCCTACAAGGTCGATAAGGTATTCAGTTACTAAGGAGCATTATCAGAGCATGTATGGTGAATATAAATTCTTATAAAGTTTTATTTTGAAAATAAATAAAGCTATATGTAAACGCCGAGGAGAGATTTTAAAATAATAAAAAAATCGGTGTGCAGGAAACTGTTTGCGGCAACACCGACATCGGTTACAAAGTCTAACAATGTTTTATATTATTTTCATATTAAAATTGGAGGTTTTGTGGAATTATAGACTTGAAATAACTATATACTCAAGGGTCTATTTTCAGACAAACAAAAAAATCTTAGTAATTTAAATTTAAAACTAATCTGGAACTACTTTAAACTTTTAGGAATTTTCAAGATTTTCATGATTTCTTTTCTTATTTACTTATGTATTACTGCAATTCTAGCTAGATATTCGCCATTTGGCTAATGCTAAATCGAAAAAATTGCACCCAGTATTTAGGTTCCCCCCGTTGACTTCAATATGAAAATTTATACTTTTCGCTATTATAGAAAATTATATTATCGATGAAAAATGAGCAAATGAAGGAAATATGCAAGTCTTATCAATCTTAAATCTTTAGACCCAATTTTTGATTATTCTCATTTTTTTTAACTATTCCAATATATTGCATTTGACTTGAGTGCGGTAGTCTGTGTATTTGTTAAACACGTATGAGAAAGAAATGCAAAACGACTTACAGTTGGTTTTTACCAAGTTTTTTCGCCTCAAAGTCACAGAAGGTAACACGTGGGAAATTGCCAGACGTATGCCAATCAGTGCCTTGCAGCAAATCGATCAATACTCGCACTCCATAGAAGGCTGTATTGGTTCCAATGAATTTTTCCATAAGAACCAGCTGTCCTACTATGTTAATGAGATACAGTCCCTTAACTATGAAGTAGAGAACCACGAGAAAGTTCCCGCTTCTTCGTCCACAGCAGACCATTCTTTTTGAATTTGACTTTGCTAACCTTCGAGCCATATCAGCTCTCTCGACTGGTGATGCCAAACCGGCTGCTGGACTGCTTTCAGTAATGGGATTGAGGGGAAATTTTCGAGCACGTCTTCGAGATGATCTTGAATTCCAACATGATCCTAAACCCGATCCACCACAAAAGGATGATGTGACACGTTTGTGCCTCCGAGATGAAGGAACACCAAGGTTCGGCTCTCCATTGCTTCGTTTTTCCCCACCACTTCGCCGAGACTCGCCTTCAGATTTAGTATAACCAGGTGGAGGTAGTTCTGTTTCAATAGGGAATCTTTGCATACCGCGATAGGGGAAAGCAGATGCTGCACTCGTACCTAGCACTCGCTTATAATCACGAAGACGGTAAATACAGCCTTCCATATATCGAGCGATAAAGCGGACATTCTTGAGGCCGTGTTCAGGGAGAAGGATATTTGAGTCATTAGCCATTTGCATAATACGACGTACATTGAAACCGGAATGCGAATAAAAGAGACGCCAGATAAGACAGGGTAGGTAAAAGAGGAGGGCTTGGATGGCCATTAGAATCGGAGCCCATTGGTAATAGAGAATTCTAGCACTTTCGCGATCTGTCATATTTTGTGGCAGGCGCTTGGGTAAAGGGGAAAAATAGGTATTCGAAACCCAACAGTAATTTTCTGCATACTCCTCCCATCCTCTGGTAAACTCTTGTGGTATCCAACATTGAATAGGTTTGCCTACAATCATTTGAATAGATATAATTTTAAATGAATTTCTTAAAACCGCTAATCGATATATCACCGACATTCCACTTTTTTATTTATTTTACTTTGTGGGGAATTCAAAACGTTCACTCTCAATGCAGAAATATAACACTTAACAACTATTTTATAACTCTCAGAAAACACCTAGAATGATTATGAAATATTAAAAAGCATTTAAGAAAAGTATAAATTTTGCCTCCATTGTAGGCTTGGCGATAATTACCCAAGAGAAACTGAAAATTTTCCACCACTGTACTCATTAAAGAGTTGTCAAATTGACCCACATTCTTTGTTCTTTTGGCCAGCTACTAATTGAACCAGAGTTGAGGTCTGTGCAAAATATCACCTCGTACAAGACGACTGGGACCTTAATACCAGCAAACAATATTAATGACATTTCAATTGCCTGTATGGTGCTCGGTTTATTATACAATTACGACTTTCAATATGCATGCTTTTCAAATATTGCGATTTTACGAATTGTTTTCCCTTTAATCGCAAAAGAACTGGACAACAACAGAAGCTTAAATTTAAGATGGCTTGTTGGGAATTGGAGAGCCAAATTTTCATTGAATTCTGAATTCGTAATTTTGTTGAAATTGTTGTATATGATTAGAAATTTTAATTTCTTGTAATTACCAGATAAATCAATAAGTTCAAATTTGGCACATAGAATATTCGAAATTTGTTAATTCCAATAGAGTTCGCACTAAACGATAACACAAACTGACGCCTTCCACCACTTTATCTTTGGAAATTACCAAAAAATATAGATAAATCGTGAAAAGATGACTTGAATTCACTTCAATCACTTCTGCATTTGAGTGTCATTCAAGCATAAGCGAATTTGATTATTTCGGTAAAATGTTAGTGTCACCATTTCACTTTTTTAAGCAACAAATTGACTGTAAGTTTTTCCCAATACGATTTAAATTAATAAGTGTAATAAATTAGGTCAGAACTTGCTAAATTATCTTTGTAAAGAATAAAAAATTTAAAATAAAACGAGGATTAATTAAATGGTACTGGGAAAAACAATCTGCGTTAGCGAAACATTAAAATATCCCTTATTCTCAACTCCCAAATTTGATGTAAAAAGAGAGAGAGCATTAAGGCAAGCAAAAGTCACGCGAAGAATATGTTTGTCCCCAAATTTTGTATTTAATTTTTTTGCTTTAAATTGATGACAGAGGTGTTCTTCAAAAATTGATACTTAACGGTTTAACTCAAGAATGGCTATTATTTACAGGCATTACATTACCCACCATATCTAAATTGTAAATATAATGTGGTTATCTCTTGACCTACATTGGATTATGTAAGCCGGTTGCCCAAGAACAATCCAGTTCTTGAAATAACTGAAATCACGCAATCTCTAAAACGGTACTTTTAATTACATGAAATTGGCTCAATCCTCACCCAGAGAACTTATTAGTCAGTCTACATGACAAGTACAATCTACGCAACGAAAACAATAGATATAAGGAACCGGAAGACCTTCTATTTCAGATCAAGAAGAATGGAGTCAGAATAATGTGAAAAATTGAGTCATATTTCAACACAATTTAACTCTAAGAAGCATTAGAGCGTCTTGAAATTCTTTTTTAGAGGGAATTTGTAGACGAAAACAAAAAATTGAATAAATATATATATACATTTTTCAAATAGTGCTTTTTATTGAGAGCTATCAAGCATATCAAATTCTCAATCATCATTAACTATTTATTTTCATTTCACGTGCTTTATTGTTTCATTTAATTCCAAAACTAAATAACATCTTTTTGTGCACTCACATTAATCAATTTACGAATGCAAGTTCAGTCCAGTTGATTATAATATAAAGGAAAATTTTGTCATCAGATCCTTCGAAAACAATTGACAATTACATAACTAAATTTTATACCGATTAAATGACAATTTTTGCTCAAAAAGATGGGTTTTAATCATTTAATCCACGTCAAAAAAATAGCTTATCCCAATCGGATTATTTTTTGTAGTCCGTTGAGGTTAAATTTAAGTTAAAAACACAAGTCGCACCCATTTTCAATATTTTTAAGGCAATGTTTAAATTTTCAAATGAAAATAATTTTAATTTAGTTTATTACTTTCTCCTACAGAATAAATTTTGAAAGAGATATATTGTATTGATTTCCTATTTATTTTTACTAAACAAATAAATAAATCAATACTACTTTGACTCTCGTTGAAAATGCCAACTTGCCCTCTAATTATAGGCACACTAAAACAAAATTGTGATGCTGCATAGATTGAAAGTGTTTAAATAGGTAAGAGACTTGTAGATATAGAAATAACTCAAAGGAGTATAACTAAGAATAAACATAGAAAAAAAGTATTCAAAGTTTAGATATTCATTTAAATTCTCCTACAAGAGCGCGGACAAAGGTTATTGTATGCGGTTCCAAGGTCGAATTAAATTTGCTAACTTTGTTTAAAAGTAAATACATCGATTAAGGATCAATGAACTAGGTATTCGTGATTAAATTGACGCTTTCTGCTATGATGAAAAGAATATAAAATAGATTTTGAAACCAAGTCGAAAGTAGTTGCCATTGGCCTAAATGCCAACGCAATTTTTAGTGCTAATTTTAGGAATATCTTTAAAGAAAAACACGAATTCCAATGCTAATGTACTACTTTTACCCCTGAAATTTAAACTATGAAAAGTAATAAATGTAGGCTAATTCAAAATGATCCTTTGCGTAATGATTGCACTCCAAACCGCGTGAAGTTAAATCTTTCAAGATACAAGCTATTTGGTTAGTACATAAAACCTGATTTCTTCTTTAATATGTTAAACTGTCAAAAATACTCAAAATCCATTCTCTCTTAAATAAATTAAAAATATAAGATTATGGGAAATCCTCTTGAGTCACAAAATTTTATTTGCTAAATGTGGTATCGATTACTGAAACCTGCCTAGTGACATTAATTTTCATTAAGCTGACTTAGTGCTAACCAAAACAACATATGCTATAGATTTTATTAGGCAGCAGATTGTCAAATTTAATTAAATATATTAACAGCATATACTTAACTTATGCTTTTGCACTAATAACAAGTAAATGAAAAATTTGCTCAAATAATTCAGACACCAAAACTTTGTACGAATTTTTGATGGCATTTTGCTGCACTTAACTAATGCGGTGGGATAGGGTTATCGAGATTAGTTTTTGACAGATTTAAATTCTGTCTATATTCTTGTTAGCTAGACAAAATCAGCTCTCCTAACCACTTTACGCACTGAAAAGTAATACTGTCGTTGCTTATTTCTCAAAGATCAGCTTTAATAATCCGATCTTGTACTATTAAAATTATTTTTATTCAAGTTTATAGGGTGTTTCCGTTTAATTCAGGAAATTAAATGATTACTGGTTAGTGATACCTATTCAATTTGTCAAAAATTAGTTTCCTACGGTTAAGTGCTTTGCTTTGTTTACTTGCAAAATCGATATTCTTTAAGTTGAATGTTTTTTATTGTTTTACATATCCAACTATAAGCGGATTTTAAAACTATCTATGGTTCGCTTGTTAATTCTTTCGATTACTTTTGCAGTCCCGAAACATTTGTCATTACTTCTGGCTTATGAGCATGAACTTACTTTTATTCCACTTGATTAATTGAGTTCCTATCCATATTGGATTAAATTATTTGTTTGTAGAATGATTTTGGTGACTATTCACTTTTATTGCATGGAACACAAAGAATAGATATTTTTAACACTGGTTTACTTTGAAAGCAAATGATAAACAAATGCACCATTCAAAATCCTCAACAAAGGGCTCATATTCGTATTGCTTAATTTTTTATTTTATGGAAAGTAATTTCTCTGCACATATTATCAAAAATTGTTCCTTAGTCAAACAAACTTTCTGCATTCAGTAGCAATTTATCACGGATTCGTTCTTATATGTTTGCCAACAATGTCCGTTTATCCTTAGGTGTTCCATATCATGCCTTGAATTTAAATCAATATCTAATAAACATCGAAGTAAATTTTGATTTGACATGGAAGAGATTGATTCTATTTGTTGTCTAATCCGATAGAAATCCGATTATGTTTGAAATTTTTTTGATTTGTTCACAGAAACCTAGTCGAAACCAACTTTACCTACCATGGTCTCGTTAGGTATTGCAGGGATTTAAGAGCTGTGGATTCAGAAAGCCTTATTGCGAACAATAAATCAATTTCTACTCATTCATTTACTCTCAGTTTACTCCAAGAGTGCATAATAAATTGTAAACTTAAGTTGTGGATCATAATCTGAGCTGGGTCCCGAAGTCAAGAAGGTTTTCTTCGCTAAAACCTAGATAAGTTTTGAACTGTTTTTGACTCTAAAATTGGGAAGAATCTACTGAAGTCTGTTACATTAAGACCGTGTGTGTTGCCATCTAAAGTTTAAGTGGTAAACCGTTTTAATGCACCTATAACACTACTCATAATAGAAATTTAGAAAACATAGGAAAAGCACCCCAACTTTGCCATTGGAAATTTAAACTAAAATGAAACCACGGAATATTGCATTTCAATTCAGGTGGGGCTTTCTAAATCCATTAAAACGCAAACATTGACCCTAATGACTACCCACAATCATCAAATTGCAGTTTTTGCGAATTAAAGAAGAGTTTAGTGGTCCACAGTTAGAGACAGCATATATTTAATAAAATGTTTCCAGGAATATAATTTTTCTTGCTATTAAATTATTTATTAAGCAAAGTAAAACCGAAGGCCTTAATCTTTAAAATGGTATCTGAAGAGGAGTAAATATTTTAATTAAAAGCTACGTTTCAATTTTGTCTTTTATGGTTGTGGGTAAAATAAATATAAATTTGAAGAAAAATACTAATTCTCTTATAATTTTGCATGTTCATTCGTTAAAAAAGAGACATTTTAATTGAAGGCCGTCGTAGCTTATGCAAATTTATATCCTTTACATTTCATTGAGGAAAGAACTGACATATTGCAAACTTTAAAAGCTGGGTGTTTCGGGGCTTAAACCATCGTTGTAATTACCGAAGTCCTT